ATCAATCACAGCCGAAGACACGGCCTGCCTCTTCATCGCAACCATTGTTCGATTACACGGGATACCAGCTGCGATCATCAGCGACCGCGATACGAAATTTACCAGCAATTTCTGGTGGAACCGGTGGCAGCAGTTCGTCACACGACTACAATTCAGTTCTTCGTACCAACCCGAAACCGACGGACAGACAGAACGGACAAATCAGACCATGGAACAGTTAATTCGAGCCACGTGCGACGACCCCACCACCTGGGAACAGCAATTGCCACTCATCGAATTCGCGTACAACTCGCCATCCGCCACGACCCAACAGTCACCATTTTACTTGAACTACGGACAAAACCCTACAGTACCCATGACCCCGAGCCCCGACAACCCCGTACCACGTGCGCAACAGTTCGCAGAAATATTCCAGGCAGCACGAACCAGGGCAGCTGAAGCGATAAAAAAAGCCAACGTCAGCGCTAAGCGCAACGCCAACCGCCACCACGGGCCTGTTACTTACCAGCCCGACGACTTGGTTTTACTCGACACTCAAAACCTCCGCCTGCCCATAATCCCGAAAATCCGCCCCCGATATTGCGGGCCATTTCGCATCAGCCACATGATCACGTCTGTCACCGCCCACCTCCTCCTCCCTGCTGACTGGTACGTCAGCCCATCCTTCCACGTCAGCCTGCTTCGCCCCTACATTCCATCCACCAGCCAACTTGCCGAAATCGCCCAGCCAGCATGACACGACCACCGACCGAACCAGTCATCACGCCCGAGAAGATTTTGAGCCACCGAGTTCGCGACCCACGAGGAGCTCGAAGGGTCAAATTTCTAATCCGCTGGAGAGATCGCACGCCCACCGAGGACAGTTGGGTTCCACTGGACAAAATCGAAAACCACCCCGTCCTCAATGAGTATCTGCGCAGCCGAAATTTCTGGAATATACACGCGATATCGTAAGAGAAGCCTCCTTGGGGAGGGGGATAATGTAAGGAAAATCACTTTTCCTTACTTCGCGTCCCTACTCAGCGCGTACGCTACTGTTCCCGCCAAAAGCACCCCACAATATCCCGTTACCACTCGCGACATTCGCCTCGACCCCATTCCCGCCACTGTTCACGATGCGACCCAACCTCACTGTTCGGTTGGTAACCCGCGCTCCAGACCTCCGCCTCGACAGTCCCCCAACCTCGGCACCAGGCCCGTCGCGCACCCCAATTTCACACGTTACCGTTACCACCGTAGCTTCGCTATATATTCTTCGCTCAATCTTTTCGCTCATTGTATCGTTGCCTTGATAGTGCAATCCTCGCTCGCTCACTCAATTGTACTCGTAACACTCTACATGTTTTAATCATCAGTTTAGTTGCTGTAAGGTGCACCGGGGAGCAGGGTCTGTATTAGGATTTCAGACATCCTGAGCCCTCAGGGCAACTTTTGAAAGTTCTCTAGAATGCCCTGATTTTTCATTCATTCGTTCCAGATTCTAACATGGTATTCTGAGCAGGTTCCCTCGTGGGAACGTTTTTTTTTTTTTTTTTAGGGCCCACCACGAACTTTTTTTTCCTGCCCTGCCCGAAGCGCGCCTCGCGCCTGCCTTACCTACGCAGTCGCCCGCCCTTCCCTAGCCGGCCCTTTCTCAGCCGGCCCGTCCCGGCCCGTGGTGCCCCTCGCCGGCCTGTCCCTGGCCCGTCGCGGCCCCTTTGCCGCCCGTCGCGGCCTGTTCGCCGCCCGTCGCGGCCCCTTTTCCGCCCGTCGCGGCCCCTTTGCCGCCCGTCACGGCCCCTTTGCCGGCCGTCGCGGCCCCCTGTGACCGCCCGTCGCGGCCCCTTTGCCGCCCGTCGCGGCCTGTTCGCCGCCCGTCGCGGCCCCTTTTCCGCCCGTCGCGGCCCCTTTGCCGCCCGTCACGGCCCCTTTGCCGCCCGTCGCGGCCCCCTGTGACCGCCCGTCGCGGCCCCTTTGCCGCCCGTCGCGGCCTCTGCCCAGCAGCCGCCCTGTCGCGGCCACTGCCCAGCAACCGCCCCCTGTCGCGGCCCTGCCTTCGCCGCCTGTCGCGGCCACTGCCCTGCTGCCGCCCTAGTCGCGGCCCTGCCTTAGCCGCCCGTCGCGGCCTCTGCACTGCAGCCGCCCCTGTCACTGCCCTGCCCTGCGGCCGCCCCTGTCGCGGCCCTGCTCTGAAGCCGCCCACTGTCGCGGCCCTGCCTATGCCGCCCGTCGCGGCCCCTACGCTTCGCAAAAACTCGTTTGAAACTTCGCAAAAAGTGGTTTGGAATACGCTGCTGACACCGTCTGAACGACATTTCGGATGGTTCGTTTTGGCTGCGCTGTCACTGGCGCGCGAAGTGGGTGACAACCTCACCCAGTACAGTGCCTCGGATTTCTGGTGTCGAACTCACGTGGTCCGCAGCAGAACGAGAATCACTTGCTTGCCGAGCAGGCCGTCGAGGTGGTTGTTTGCAAAAGTGACCGGTGTGGGACGCGCCATCTCTTCATGCGCACGCGTCGAAGTCACGATCGACAGCTTGGCGAGCTGCTCGACGGACAGCAGCTCCCTCGAAAATAGGCTGCACATAAAGCTAAGGCACAATCAGCGACAGGTAAACATGGCAAACCGAAAATGCTCGACAGGAAACTTACACAATGCCCGCGTTCATCATCATGTCGTCGAGCTCCGCCTTCGGTGCCTCGCTAAGCGCATTCAACTGGTCTTCGAACACCTCCACCTCGATCCCGCCTGCGGTTAGGATGAGGCCGCGTCGAACCATCGGCTCGTTCACGACGGGTAGGGAGGCGGGGCCCGTAGCCATGGCAGGCCTAGCAGTAGGGATGGCGGGAGCGCAAGGAAGTTGGGAACTAGGGAGTAGGGAAGAAAAACTCGAAGATTGCAACAAAATGAGAACGCACTCAAGGTATTAGCTGTTTGTCATCTCCTCCACTGAGACAGACTCGGGTGCAAGGGCGACAAGGCAGGGCGCGTTTCGCGACGGCGGTAGGAGGAGCTTATGACAGAGGACGGCGGGGCCTTATTGGTGGTTGGTTGCATGAGGTGGGGCGCCCTACATGCAGCTGAAATGCCCCTTTCAAGGAGCGGGAGGGGGCGTTTGATACATCACCAGGGTCGAGCTCCAAACGAAAGGGGCCCGTCGAGGGCGAGAGCGGTGGAGCGCGGTGCAGATGGGCGTCGCTTCCGTCCGCTCGCGAAAATTCGCGGACGGGTTCCGTCGGCGAGGCAACGCCCGGCGAGGGTTTCGTGGGTTACCGGACGGAACCCGTCTACGAACCGAGGGTGGGGTTTGGTTCGGTTGGGGGGGACCACTGGCAGCTAGCGCCAGCTGGGGGTGCCCGTTTTCGGGCGGGGGGGGGGGTCGGCACCCGCCCCTCGCGTGCTTCGCTAGGCGACTGCAGGAAAACGGAAATCCCTCCAGGGAAATCCCGCAGGGGCAAAAGCGGGTTTTCGGAGGGATCTCGCTGATATCTTCCCAGGCGAGAGAAATGTCGCGGGTGGGCTGCAAGCAGACATCGAGGTGGGGGGAAATGTAGGTTGGCGAAGGTGTTTGGTTTGGGCTGGTGGTAGTGTACAAGTGGCACGAGGCAATTGGTTTGGGTGCAAGAGAGCGGAAGTTTGGTGGGTGTGTCGAATCGACCTGGTTTTGGTGGTGTCGACCTGGTTTCGTAATCATCATTATCGAGACGAAACTTCAAGGAACTTTCGTCTCAATAAGTCGAGATTGGTTGGGGGGGGGGGGAGGGGGGGGGTGCTGTATGCTGTTCAGGGAAATACTCGCTAACGGAAAATTTACACTACACCATCAGTGTCAGTGTAACCATTACCCTTACGAATCAGGGTGATTCTATTCTCCAGTTTTTTTACCCAGAGGCATCAGCGTGACCCCTAAAATTCACCCTTCTAGTCAGGGTAACAGTGTGATTTACACTGATAAAATAGGCCCTGCTTCCCTGACCCTGACTCAATGTGACACGTGACTCTGCAAGGTCAGTCCTGGCACTTCCTGCTGACACAGGTGAGCGAGGTCAAGCCAATGAGAGCCAATGGCTGATACATGGGCGATGGGAGTCGGACACCATATGGGTATCAGAAAACAGATGCATGACGCATGAAAAGTGGCGATCAAGCCTGATGTATGAGACATGAAAAGAGCGGCATGTGGCATGGGAAATGAAAACGTCAGAGCCTGATGCATGGGAAATAGGAATCGATTTTTTAGTGCGAGGAAACTGGGACTGAATCATTAATGCATGAATATGAAATAAGGCAGTATCTCCTTATGCGTGCATGAGAAGTGGGAATCAGATGCCTTGTGCATGTGAAATGGGATGCGATGCCAAATGCATGGAGAAGGGGATTAAGATGCCTGATACATGGATGATTGGAATGAGATACACGATGCATGCTGGGTGGGGAGTTATAGTCAGATACCGAATGCACAGGAAATGGAATACTGATACCGAATGCACAGGAAATGGAAAACTGATACCGAATGCACAGGAAATGGAAAACTGATACCGAATGCACAGGAAATGGAAAACTGATACCGAATGCACAGGAAATGGAAAACTGATACCGAATGCACAGGAAATGGAAAACTGATACCGAATGCACAGGAAATGGAAAACTGATACCGAATGCACAGGAAATGGAAAACTGATGTCGGATGCGCAGGGAATGAAAAACTGTTGTCGAATGCACAGAAAAAATGTAATCTTGATGTCAAATGTAGGGCGCAACTGTTTCAACGAGAAAGAGGAGGAAATGGCGATCTGGTGCATTCTGCTAGGCTCGAGCGGCAGCCTCAAGAGTGTTCACGAACCCAGCATGATATCCAAGCCCCATGACACCATGACACCCCTCCCAGCCCAGCATGCTATTCGAAGCGCTGTGCAAACTGCTGCAAATGCCCAAGCACCACGTGCTGACAACAAAGCATCTCAACACCCAGGATCCATCTGACCTCACCATATAATAGCAACCGAGCTGTTCTCTGCCCTCACCTGACCTTCCCCCCCACCCACCCCCTCGCACTCCCCATTGCCGGCCTCTTGGTATGTGAACACCCCTCTGAATCCCCTTGCTGCTCCACCACCTGGCCGGCCAAGAGTCTCAAGACATGGGTGGAGGCGCATCATACCATCAAATGTGTACTGTAAGCTTCATCAAGAATGGCTGATTCACGGGCAATGGGAATCAGAAGCACAGTGTATGGAAATATGAATGGCATTTGCAGCAGTTTGCTTGATTCGGTTTTAGTCTACACTATGCATGAATATGTACACAATTGTGCAACAATAGATTGAGCAAATCTCCATTTCCACCTAGGAATGTGAGATAATTGTTTATGTGAGGCTGTTTGTGCAGCCTGACTTATTTACCCACTTGTCCTCCTTGTTCTTCCCTGCAAACCCTTCTGCACTGCTTGCCTCAGGCGCCACGCGAGCAGCACTGGCACTGGCCGTGACAGGAGCTGCTGTTGGTTTCACTGCAGGCTTGGGAGCTGCAGCCTTGACTGCAGGCTTGGGAGCTGCAGCCTTGACTGCAGGCTTGGGAGCTGCAGCCTTGACTGCAGGCTTGGTAGCTGCAGTCTTGACTGCAGGCTTGGGAGCTGCAGCCTTGACTGCAGGCTTGGGAGCTGCAGCCTTGGCTGCAGGCTTGGGAGCTGCAGCCTTGACTGCAGGCTTGGGAGCTGCAGCCTTGACTGCAGGCTTGGGAGCTGCAGCCTTGACTGCAGGCTTGGGAGCTGCAGCCTTGGCTGCAGGCTTGGGAGCTACAGCCTTGGCTGCAGGCTTGGGAGCTGCAGCCTTGACTGCAGGCTTGGGAGCTGCAGCCTTGACTGCTGGCTTGGAAGCAGCAGCCTTTGCTGCTGGCTTGGAAGCTGCAGCCTTGACTGCAGGCTTGGGAGCTGCAGCCTTGACTGCTGGCTTGGAAGCTGCAGCCTTTGCTGCTGGCTTGGAAGCTGCAGCCTTTGCTGCTGGCTTGGAAGCTGCAGCCTTTGCTGCTGGCTTGGAAGCTGCAGCCTTTGCTGCTGGCTTGGAAGCTGCAGATGATGCAGAAATAGCAGCAGCAGCCGTGGCAGCAGCGGCACTCACAGCGTCAGCAGCAGCAACCACAGCATCAGCAGCTGAACCCACAGCAGAAACAACAGCACCCATAGCTGCAGCAGCAGCCCGGGCCACAGCAGGTCTCAGCCGTGAAAAGCCTAAAGGAGCACGAGATTCCCGCTTGCTGCTCACTTCAGCAAATCTTCCAACCCTGTACGCCACAGCAGCTGATGTCAGGGGCTTCAGCTTTGGCGACAGCAGCAGCCTGTCACCCTCACTCGGTGCTGAGAAGCACCTGACAGTCGTATCTCTCAGATAGGCTTCATCAGCTTCCGTCCACTCGGTGATGAATTCAGAGGGGTCCACCTGCGAATCTTCTGCCAGCCATTCGCAGTCACTCTCACTGTCACCAAGGCTGAGAGCACCAGACCTCAGGAACGCCTCATCAGCAGCTGTCCACACTGTGATAAGTTCAGCAGGGTCAACCTGCGCATTCTCAGCCAGCCATTCGCAGTCATCCTCACTGACACGACGGCTGAGAGCACCATTTCTCAGGTATGCCTCATCAGCAGCCGTCCACTCCGCAGTGATGAACTCACTAGGGTTCACCGAATTGTAATCCGCCAGCAGCAGCAGCGGCAGCAGCTCATCTTCATCATTCCCAGTTGAGCTGCTCTTGACAGAGCCGCTTCTCAACTCTATTTCATCCGCATCAGTCCACTCAGTCAGCCATTCAAACGGAGTTGAGTTTGCTGGCGAGCAGGCTAACCAGCTCGGAACGTCCCATATGTATTTTGCAGCATCGCCGAAACAGGTAGCAGCAGCAACAGCTATAGCAAGGGCCGATTCAGGGTGAATAATGGCCATCGGATGTTAGGTGTGGGAGCTGGGGCGAACCAGCAACGGTGCAACAACAGTTCAGGAGGGTTTCAACAAGATCTCCAGCGAAAACCAAGAGGACTAGAGAAGTGCAGTGTTCACGCAGGATGTGATTCTAGAAAGGGTCGAGCAAACGAGTTGTGACTGAATACAAGGAGCCAATCGATTTGCCATTTTGAACTCACGGCTAGCCGAGGAATCGCCGTTTGCTTCCTCACCTTTGGTTGGTCGCACAGCCGGGGTAGCGCGGTTCGGAATGGTATGGGTCTAGCCTTGGGACCCCACCAGCGTCGGAGCCTTGTTAGGCTCGATCCGAGGTCGTCGGAGCCTCAAGGTCCTTCCAAAATTTGAACAGCGGTTGCTTGCCAGCGCATGAACATGGATCTGCTCGATCGACAGTCATTGGAGTTCCACGCTCATTCTACAACTTTAAACAACGGTTACGATTGATCGCAAGACTTTGCCAGCGCATTCACGTGGACGACGCGAAATGAGCTGGCGGAGGAGGAAACGAGCGGCTGGGGTGCAATCGGACGGCGGAAAATACTCACACCGACATTACAGCGCATGCACGTGATTGCACCGACATCATCGAACCGAACCGCATTTGACACACCGTCGACGTGGATCGACTCACGGTACGCGTGGCGAGTTTCCTCGACAAAATGCCTGGTCTCCGTTGACTACGGGAGCCGAGGTTGGCTGATAGAAGCGTCCAAGAGCCATGCCATTCAAGTGACGTCCGGATGCTCTACATAAAATCCAGCAGCAAATCTACATCGTGACAGCGGCTTCTAGCGAACTAGTGCTGGGTCAGTAAGGGAATCCAGGGCGGCTATCTAGGAAGTAGCGAGCTGAGGGGGTTAGGGATGGCGAGGCGAGATGTGAAAGCCACCTGCTGCTCACGAAACCCTAGGTGGTATACCCCCTACAGCACAACTTCATGTTATTAGAAAGTATATGCGCTCAGCTTCACTGTGCATGGCCGTTTAATATTCATTTCCATGTCTTCATGCACCAATATATTTTGCTCTCTGACTTGTTTTCCCGTTGTGTTTGTATAGTAGATACTAACATGTACGGTACATAGGACACCTGATGACATCAATAGAGCATGAATAATAAGCAAAACCATGTACACATTTCAGGTCGGCCATATCCTCAAATCACACAAAACACACAGATTGTCCATGCGCGAACTTTAGCAGCACGACATAAAACTTGTTGGATCTCCATGAGTGAAATGATGTGATTAGGACAGATGGGCCATGTACACAAATACACCGTTTGCTGAAACTGTACCGTAGAGCTAATCCAACGAAATAGTTTTAGATGATATCAACAAACATAAATTCACCACATCAGATCCCCTGACCCTGACTCAATGTCACACCTGTGACTCTGCAAGATCATGGTGAGCTGCTGCGGTGAGACCATGCCGATGAAACTTAACCCATGGAAGACTTACATGACATGCACTGCTCTGTAAACTTAATGAAGGATGAGATGAGGAAAAGAATGGAAGAACTGAGAGAAAGAGAGAAAGCAGGTGAGAGGGGTCACAGGCAAGGGTCATGTCATGGGTAATGGGTCATATGCTTGATGCGCATAGAACGGCTATGGTGCCTGATGCATGAGAAATGAGAAGAGACACATGTGGCATTTAAAACGAAAATTAGGGCCCGATGTACGGCATGAATGCTTCACCAACAAGCTGGGGCATAAGAGAGAAGGAAAGAGCAATTTGGTTGCTTGTGCTAGCCTCGAGGCGCAGGCTCGACAGTGTTGAACAACTCGTTGGCAACTCATCCAACCCGCCTGGTGCTCATGGCGGCCCAGCCAGAGGGTCAAACGACATGATGCCATGGCACCCCTCCCATCCCAGCCCAGCATCAGATTCAAGCGCTGCACGAGCTGCTGCACATGCCTGCTCACAACAAAATATTTTGATAGCTCATACCCGACATTCTTCTCACCTCGCCATGCTATAGCGACCGAGCGCTGAGCTTGAGCGTCTCAACTCTTCGACCAGACCTCATCTGACCTTCTCCTCCACATCCTCCCTCACCCTCCGCATTGCTGAAGCCACTCCCCTCTGAAGCCACCTGCTGCCCCAACCATGGGGCGGCCCGGAGTTGTCAAGGCTGTGGGTCATGGGTCATAGGTCGTGGGTCATCATGGGTCATGGAGTCAAGTGACAAAGGTATAGGGGCATCTGACCTCATACAGTGGAATGGGTGAGGTTGATGGGCAACGGGAATCGAATTGCTGACTCATGAGAGATGAGAATCAGAAGCGCAGTGCATGGTGTGGGAATTTCAAATGCCGCATGCATGGAGAGGTTCAAAAATACGACCGTATTTTTGAAAATTTACCGTAAATTACGGAATCGTAATTTACGGTCGTAAATTACGGTAAAAAACGGTGTGACCTTGCAAAATTAGGTTGGTTTAAAAATACGGTCGTAAATTACGACTGAAAATTTGAAACCGAGTTTGTGTATAGCGAATTTCGACATTTCCCAACCGTCACCCTGCTTGTGAGAATTTTCGTGCGCCCAAATCCACTCGAGTGTGTTTTTTTCCCGAGTTGGGAGTGTGGGGAGGGAGTAGGAGCAGTTTTAGCCTAAAGGTAGGTACTAGGTAGGCTTAGCAATGGTAGTGGTGTTGTGGTCCATTGTAGGCTTGTTTCTCTGTAGTGTAGTTTGTTGTCGCCTTCCTGGTCATCGTTGTAAGCGTTCTAGTAGTTTCTGGAAAAAAAAACAATTGCTGCAAAAAATGTCCAACAAAAAAACGACCGTATTTTTGGCAAAACCACCGTAAATTACGACCGTAATTTACGACCCGTAACTTACGATTACCGTATTTTTGAACCTTGATGGAGATTAGAAATCAGATCCCTGATGCATACAAACCGGGCACACCATACCCGGTGCGCAAAACCTTGAAATCCAGACGGGATGCTAGAACGGAAATGAGAATCAAGTGTCTGATCTGAAGCGGGCATACAGCATCTCCTGTAGTGTCTAGGAAATGGGGATCAGACACCTGTTATATGGGAAAAGAGAATCCAATACATGATGCATGGAATCAGATGCCTGATTCATGAGAAATGAAGACCAGCTACTGCATGCATGCATGTGATGTGGGAATCAGTTGCTTGATGCACGGACAACAAGAACGGGATACTTGAGGGGAAAACATTATAGATGTTTCATGGGAGATGAGAATCAAATGCCTGATGGAGGGGATAAGAGAGTCCGTTCGACGCATTATGCATTAAAAATGAAAATCAAACGATAACCCTGGAGTGCATGGGAAAGGGGAGCAGATGCCTTGTGCATGAAGAATGGTGATCAGATGCATGTGGAGAGAGAACTAGAGCACTAGGAAACGGGATTCAGATGGCGAATAAACGGGGTTTTGGAGATCAGATGCTTGCTGGATGGGGGTTAAGGTCAGATGTCCTTTGCATGCATGAGAAGTGGGATTCAGATGAGTTATCCAAGGAAAATGTGAATGAGATGCCTGAGGCATGGGAGATGAGACTGAGATGCTCGAAGCATGGGAAATGGGACTGAGATGCCCGATGCCTGATGCATGGGAATGAGATGCTTGATGCATGGAAAATGGAAATGAGGTGCCTGATGCATGCTGCATGTATGGGAAAATAATAATAAGCTGCATGATGCACAGGAAACGGAACCAGATGTACGATTAACAGGACACGAATATGAGATGCTTAATGTTAGGAAAATCGGAATCAGGCACCTTGTGCATGGAGAATGGAAAGAACATGCCTGATGCATGCATGGGGAATGAAGACACCTGATGCTTGCTGCAAGGGATTTGGGAAGGCGACAAGTGAGTAAGCAGGAAAATAGGATTCATGCGATAGATGGATGCGATTGCGAATTAGATTCCTCATGCACAAGGTACGGGAATCACATAGCTGATCCATCCATAGCCCAGAGGAATTTGGAACTCTATACTTACAGCATGAAAGATGGGAACCAGGTCCCTGATGCATGGAAAGTGGGAACCACATGCCATATTGATAAAAACTGGGGAAATTATATCCCTGCTGCAGGGAACATGGGCATCAGATGACTAATTCTTTGTGAAGTGGAGAGTGGGAAGGGTAAGATGCAAGGGAGATGGGAACTACGGCACTTGTCCTCAGAACACTGCGGTGATAGGCACATATAAATATTAGTAGCGTGCGAGTTTCGACGCTCAACTCTCAAGAAAGTAACACAAGATATGCAAGACACAAGTAACTCAGAAAGTGACTTGATGCATGTGGATGTGGACCACACATATTCAATGACTTCATGTTACACAATTATAGAGCTTATTCATGCAGCACCAAGCAGCCAATATCAGAAACCATATTTCGGTTTTAGTCTACACTATGCATGAATATGCACACAATTGTGCAACAATAGATTGAGCAAATCTCCATTTCCACCTAGGAATGTGAGATAATTGTTTATGTGAGGCTGTTTGTGCAGCCTGACTTATTTACCCACTTGTCCTCCTTGTTCTTCCCTGCAAACCCTTCTGCACTGCTTGCCTCACAGGCGCCACGCGAGCAGCACTGGCACTGGCCGTGACAGGAGCTGCTGTTGGTTTCATTGCAGGCTTGGGAGCTGCAGCCTTGACTGCAGGCTTGGGAGCTGTAGCCTTGACTGCAGGCTTGGGAGCTGCAGCCTTGACTGCAGGCTTGGGAGCTGCAGCCTTGGCTGCAGGCTTGGGAGCTGCAGCCTTGGCTGCAGGATCGGGAGCTGCAGCCTTGGCTGCAGGCTTGGGAGCTGCAGCCTTGACTGCAGGCTTGGGAGCTGCAGCCTTGACTGCTGGCTTGGAAGCAGCAGCCTTTGCTGCTGGCTTGGAAGCTGCAGCCTTGACTGCAGGCTTGGGAGCTGCAGCCTTGACAGCTGGCTTGGAAGCTGCAGCCTTTGCTGCTGGCTTGGAAGCTGCAGCCTTTGC